CCCCCAACCATCCCCAAAGTAGGGAGACTCCGGAAAACCCTTATCACTTTCTGCGAATTTTCTCTTCTGCCCCTGTGGTGAGTTTACCACTTCTTTCTTTTTGGGGAGGAGACGTGGGTCGCTGCTCATGGTCCAGGCGACTTTAAACGCGCAACGGCGCCATGACTCGATTCGGCACCAACTGGAGAGGTAGTGATTGATGGCACATTAGGGTCAAAGGGAATGGCATCTTCAGCAGCTCCCCTCGCCACTATTGCTTGCAACTTTGATAACATGACTGACATCGAACTATCTGAAAACCAAAGGACAAAGTGTGCGCGTTAGAAATGAACAGTTATATATAAAAGATTCCTTTAGATAAAATTAAAAGGATAGAAACAAACTTACCCAAAAAAGCCCTGATATCATCATCAGTATATTCATTTAAAATAGTATAAGTGTTTAGGTAACCCGTATCGGGAAGCCTCTCGCGCGATATTGCATAAGATGGTTACAGTATGTTATGTTGCTCGTAATCACTCAAATCATCAAAACTGTAGCTCAACTTTTGACCCTCTAACGAATGTTGTGTCCAATATAAAGGAAAAATGGTGAATTATCTTCTTTTTTCAAGAAAAATGCTTGGGAACCTTTTGCGGGGAAAATTTTGAAGTAGTCTGTGGACCATTTGTGAACCTTCCTTTGATAGGAATTACAGAACTTGAATTTATCCTTTCCTTTGAAAGAGACCCAGCTGGAACGCAGCCCCATAACACTATACAGACATAAAAAAAACTCTAGGGATTGAAATAGATTATAGGCCTTACAAACCATCTTGTATTGTGAAGGCACCACATTAATATGCGCTAGCAATCTACAGATAAAGGATGAAAAAGGCAGACGTACTCCTAACGTCAAAAATAAGTGGGCATACATCATTATGAAATGTCTGGAAGATCCTTCAGCGCGCGTGGAGCATGTTCATTTAAAGGAACGACATCTAACTCCCACTAGTCGTCATGAGATTTCTCTAGGGTAACATGGATGGAAACCTTCAATTGCACCAATTCTTCTAGAGAACTGTATATTGAGACAGTGTCCAAAACGATGTCAGATACCCAGTTCAGAGCTTCTTCATCCCGAATACCACGCTTGACCGGTCTAGTTGCTTCGGGATCAAGCTTTTGTTTTTTCTTTGCGTCCGGGTTAAGCTTTTGCTTTTTCTTTGCATCACTAGCACCGCGCTTGGCCATGATTTCTTTAATTTTAGGCGAGATAAAATCTGATTCAGGAGAGGAAGAATTAGTAGAGGCAGAAGAGTCAGAAGAAGAAGAGACAACAAATGCAGATTTAAAGTTGTCAAAATTCCTTTTCTTATATGGGTACCCAGCTGGGTAAATAACATTTAAAGGCAAGGGGCTTGGACTCCTTTGGCCAGGTTGATCTTGCACAATGGAAGGAGAAGTATCGCGCGATGAAATTGAAAGGGAAGAGTTGGAGTTTAGGGTATTAACATACTTATGACTACAACCAGAATTTGAGGTAGAATCGCTCGATATGAAAATAGGACTGGTCATTTTAAAGGGAACTTTTGGGAAAAAGGGACGAACTTTGTTGCAACAAAGTTCTAGTTATCCCGCAGTTAGGTTCTTGAGAGGAAGAACCTATTTCAAACCGTCGAACAGAAGACGCACTGTTATCGTTCAAAATCACTTTCTTCCAGGGGGTAGCACATTTACCAGTAAGCCACGATTCCCCAGTTCTTAAAGACCTCGACCTAGGTAAGGACCTGGGTGGAGGACGAGAAGAGCCAGACCGTTCGGCAATTCTGATGAAATTCACAAATTTGCGATTATCAGACATAGCAGAACACAAAGGATAAAAATCGAAGAAAGAACATACCTGAGATATATACTTCGGATGAACGGAAGAAGAGCAGGACATGTCAACACCAGAAGAGAAAAAGTAGAGATCGAATGTTGAGGAAGAGAGATCTTTCACAGTAACAGTGAGTGCTTAGTGTGCTTTCCCTCCAAACCAAACTCAGTACTGTTAACAAAAAAAAAAATAGCTCAATGCAAATATGAAAAGATACAGCATGAAAACCCAAAAGGTTAAAACGTGTTGAATAAAATGGATAAAAAAGAGGGACACGTGGAGGGAATGTAAAACGTTTAAATTTTAAAATAGCCCACGATTGTCATTAAGCACCCACGTAATTACGGTGACATTAAATGCGTCTTACAGTTAAAACATCTAATCAACCGTTCTAAGCGGCTAAGTAATGATGACTCTTCAGCCTAACATGAGCGACATCAAATGAACGCGCCAGAACAACATACCGCGCATAAAAGGATATATGTATCTCCCAACTTTGCCAAAATACCTAAACTGCGAGCTAGGGGGCAACTGATTTGGATAAAATATGATAGGCCCATCAAAGGCCCAAATACATAAGAACAAAGTCCTTTCATCTTCATTAACAACCACCAGCCCAAAAGACAGATTACCCAAAAACCTTCTCACTTCAACCGTGTGTGATATGGTCCAGTACACTTTGGCCAGCCCATATTGTATTTGGTCTGATCAGACATAAGATCATGCAAATGTTATTTTTTATTCCACAATTTTTCTTTTATTTGTTTCCTCTCGAAACCTTAATTATAGTTTTTTTTTTATATAAGTAAATATCTTATGCACTAAATAAATATTTTTAAATTTGAATAAAATTTATAACTTATAAACTTTAAAAATATATATAATTTTAAAATATAAATATTCAAAGCTATTAAAGATATGTATAATTAATTTTAAAAAATAAGAAATAGCATGTGTAGAATAATAAATTAAGAGATATGTATTAAAAAATAAATAAATTAAGCGATTAAGTCACTCAAAATTTTGTTTAATTTAATATATATAAAAAATTGAACAATTTTTTAATACGAGGTTGAGTAAAAACCACATAAGTACATAACGTAGTCATCAATGTCATAATAGACATTTAACCATCATGAGGAAGGACTAGCCAGGTGGAAAAAAATGCAATTATTTCAGAGGGTGAAATAAGAAAAGAAATTAACAAAGCAGTTTATTGTGCCCTAAAATTTGTACAAAAAATAAAGGAAAAGTATCTTTTCGGCTATCTTAAAAAAGGTCTCCATCTCATTAAAGTACATGATATATAAGTTATTCATATTTATAATTTTCAATGTTAAGTTGAACATAATAATAGAACGCATCTAAAAATCAAATCGTCGATCCTCGTTGGTTGAATTAGAAGCCAATAATAAAATAAGGAGATAGATCTTTTGACTCTAGAGTAAGACTTATAACTCTTACTTCTCATCTCAACCGTTGATTTCCGTCCATCTAACGGTTATTATTTATTTGAAATAAATAAATAATTAATTGTTATAGATATTCATTAGATGAACGAAAATCAACGGTTGAGATGAGGAGTAAGAATTGTAAGTCTTACTCTAGAGTCAAAAGATCTCTCCCCATAAAATAATAATATACACACATTCGTAAAAAATTAGTTTAAAATTGTAAGAACGAGTGTAAAAATATGTTAAAACGTACGTAGAACGGTCCTTAATAAAAATAGGTAAAAATGTCGTGTAGAAACATCAAAACGGTAGAAACACAAGTTTTTACGATATTTTTTTTATCATTTTTACTTAAACTTAATTTTTTTATTTTTTATTTTTAAAAAAACCTATTTTCCATTTTTTAAATTCAATTTTCTCTTTTAATATTTTTGTACTTATATCTTATATAGTTATGTGACTTATATCTTTTTGAATATGAAGTTATTTATTAAATTTTGAGCAGTGACTTATGTGAATTTTTTTTGCATGCATATATATATATATATATAAAATTTTGTATCTTGACCTCAAGTAGTAAAATTTTTTACGTTTCATCTTATTTCTACGAATTACATTTCTATTACCCTTTTCATTTTTACATAGAAACTCGATTTTAACTATATTGCACACATTATTGCATATCAACATCAACCTCATGGAAAAATAGTATATTAGCATTGCAATGAGTGTGTTCAGTTTATATATTTTCGAGAATATATAATATAAATGTTAAAAGTATTTTTTTTCTTTGCTAAAAAATTATTGGCTGATATATAGAGAATTTTTTTTTAATATTTTTATAGAAAAAATTATAGTTAATACCTCTTTTTCTTATTACTTCTTACTACTAAATTTTAATCGTTGATTTTTGTGAATCTAACGGTTGTAATTTATTGGGTCATACTTATTAATTAATTATTAATTTATAATAAATTATTATCGTTAGATTGACGGAAATCAACAATTAAGATTTGATAATAAGAAGTAATAAGAAAAAGAAATAATAACTATAATCTCTCCTTATTTTTATTATATATTTTCAAAAATATATAAAACAAATATGACCGTCGCACGAGGTGGTATAAAAAATGTTCTTCAACCTCACATTCCTCTAAAAAATCTGTCCAAGGAATCGTTCGAATGGGTTTTCTAACAAAGTCACGATTTTTTATTGGTGTTTACAAAATTTCTCAAGATTTTTTTTTTTGACGTTTGATAGAAGATTTTTGTTAGGATTCCCATAAACTACGTATGATAATTTTATTTATCATGAAATTTTAAAATTTTCACAGGAATCTAATTTTTACATGATTTTATTTTATGTATAATTTTTTTTGTAAATACAATATCACTCGGGGGTGGTATCTTAGGAGTTTATAACAAGAAAAAATTTAACACAACCAAATATAATATCAAGAAAATGAACCTAATATTTTCAAAAAAATATCTTGACCTACTAAATAACATTTTAATAACATTATAAATTTTTTTTTTTTTTCTAAAAATCGTGATTTGCGAATAGCAACTTGGTATTTTCCATACTTAGAACTAAGCCACATGTTATCAGAATCCCACCTAAAACAAGACACGTACCTTTGTCACTTACCATAAAATAGAAAGTACTCTTGTGGGTGACGTGTGACCAAATTCCCCACCCGATCTCTTGGCATTTTTCCTCCCACACATAACATCACTCTCCAAATCTGCATTCCGCAAGAAAAAGCTTGCAATATAGAAGCAACACAGCACACGGAAACAGCAACAATCTCTTCTATGCTACTCTGCTGCATGAAAGAGAAAACACCTTTAATGGCTCACAAATCCTCTGCTGAATCTGATGACCAGATTCCTTGTCAACCACTGGAATTGAAGAAAAAACCTCACCAACCCAAAGACAACAAGAATATGGAGCAACAACAAGAAGATGATAGTGACAAAGAAGATACACATCATAGACAAACCCCATCTGCTTCAAAAACCCATTTCTGTAACAACATGGAAATTGCATTGCAGGAGCTGGTTTTACCTCATGTACTGGATGTTGCAGAAGGAACTGTTGTTGAGCCTGAGGCCATGGCAGAGGATAGTGGACGCGAGAGGTTGAAGAGGCATAGAGTTGAAGTGGCTGGAAGGGTTTGGATTCCTGATTTATGGGGCCAGGAGAACCTTTTGAAGGATTGGATAGATTGCTCTGCATTTGATGCTCCTTTGAATTCTAGCAGGATCATGACAGCTCGAGCATCTTTGGTTGAAGAGGGTAGAAGAACGACCACTGGTGGATTTAGATTTGAGTTCGGGTGTTGAATTTTCATTTCTGTGATTCAGTTTAAGTTTAATGACTACCATATATTGATTATGGATGGTTTGTTAATCGAGATATTTATATGATCCTTTTTGTTTTGTATATATATTCACCCGTAAGAATTTGATTTTGGAAAAAAAAAAAATTTCTTCTTCTTAAAGCGTGGTACACTACATATTATTTTTAATTTTAATTTTTGTGAATTAATTATAGATTATTCATAATTTTAAATATTGTTTATTTTCTTGCTAGTATGCACAAAATGTAGATTAACCTGAAGAGATACTTGCTCAAAAACGTGGTAAGGTTCTGTTTATTAGTTGTAAGCGAGTCGTCAAAGTTTCAAACAGAAAAAAATTGAGATTGTTTTTGAATTACACTAGTGGAAAACGATGAATCAATCAGTCGTTCTTCTGCTGGTCCCGGTACATATGTTGGAACACAACTGACGAGGCAAAGTAACCTATGGTTCCCAGTACCAGGAAGAAAGCATAGAATATACAGGCATTGTAGCCCATAACGAATACCATGTTCATGAAATCGTCGCCACTGATTCTGGCATGGAAATATATTCCATACACAAACATGAAGATGGCCGGTGACCCTCCACGTAACAAGGATCTGCAAGAACAGACAAAGAGAGTGTATTCATTTCAGTTTATGGCAGATGGATTTAGAATTACAGAAATTGGAGAAGGTAGTGTTCAAAAGAGATACCTCCACCTCCAATCATGATCTTGCTTAGACAGCTGATAGCGAGTAAAAGCCATCGCAAAAAGGACAGTGAGTGAAACGACCACAACGAAAGCGGATATCATCGTGCTAAATGCACCACAGACTTTTATGTTCCACAAGCTTGCGTATATGTCATCCATCATCCAAAAGATTGCAGTGAATGGTAGAAGGCCCCCGAAGAACATCTGAGCTGTTGTCCTTGAGTACCAAGGCTGTCCAGAAATATGCCTCTGAGATCGAGTGATTGCGCAGGGTGGTTGATCGACTCTAGGTGTTACAAAATGCCCTATTATGCCACCCGTACCCAGTTGAGTTATAGCGAAGAGTACACTTTGGAGAAGGAAGTTTCTTGCACCTGGATATAACAAATCAGGAAATCCGGAAGTGTTGCCTTCCAATGTGTACAGGAGAAGAAACGTTAAGGTTGATGGAAGAGAGTAAAGTGCCCCAGTCTGGAAAATACATGCTTTCTGCGTGAAAAATTGCAGCCAAATGACAAACTTAACAGCGGAGAATGATGAGAAATAATAATGCAAATTTTGAAACAATAACTACCCATCCAATCGGAGAAAAATCACCGTGAAATGCTGTGGCCACATATCCTGCAGCAGCTGATGTTAAACCATATGCTGCAAGAATATAAGTAGAAACCGCCTTAGCATTGCAGGGATACAGGGCACCTTGATACGACAAAAAGAGAAAGGAGCATATCCTGCAAATAAGCAAACTTCAAGTGATTCTACTATACCACAATAAACAATGACACAAGGGCAAGCATCAACCTGCGAAAGATCTAGAATAAGAGATTCTGTACTCAAATAATTTCTTTATTTTTCTATTGTAGCACAGAATTAAAGACAGCTAAAACTTAGAAAAATGTTTTGGCAAATCGTCTAAGTCAATTTATAGCTTGGTACTTGGAGGTCGATTTATAGTCAGTAGGTCGGCCCTATATGTAGAAAAAAAAAAAAAACACAAAAAACAGGAAGATGAAGAGAAAGAAAGAAACACAACAACACTTTTTAATGTGAAAAATATCCTCTAAAGTAGAAGAGTAAAAAACCATGGAATCTAGTCCAACAAAATCTTCCACTATAACAATAATGAGATTACAATAGTACTTTCCTAATAAGCACTAGAGGTACACACTCAAACTTTATAATGGACTAATGGTAATATATGAAGCTTTTCTCTAAAAAGCTCACTCTGTCAAACTCCTGTTTAGAGGAATACACTCACTATCAGGTAGTTATTCTTAAGTGTCTAACTTTACAGAAATGATTCCTATCCCATTTTATACAATGGGGAATGACTCTTCACCTTCTCCTAGAATCTTCTTCATAAATGGGGTTAATGCATTTATTGGGGTGATTATTCAAACATTGAGTCATAAAACAATAAATGCTTCGCATGCTCAACCGTCATGCATTGAATGAGGAAAACCCCAACAAAATGTTCACCTAATCCAAGTTTAAATGACTAGCATCTGTTTACTTCTTGACTCTTTGGTGGAGATAGTGAGGGGCTAGGAGGGAATCGCCCCCTCAAGTTTATGAAACGTTTGTTTTAGACTCGACTCTGACCTAAAAAAAGTAGTGTAGCATAAGTTGCTCTCTCAAACCCAGTCTTCGAGCTTTTTTTCATCTTTATTATTATTCATATACGAAGAGAATTCTTTAAATCTGGTTGTGTGTTAACCCATTATCGTGTTGCTCTCCCTAAATTAGTATAGATTTTACTTTTCCCGCCCCTCTCACCTCACCAAATTTTCCAGCTCCACTATTCTCGGCTTAACTAGGAAGTGTGTAAAGACCAAGCATGTCTTCTATATAATGGCTAAATACAATTTTCAGATAGGAATCCAGAATACGTCAAACACATTAGCTTTTGAAAGGAAATATAAAATATTATATACGATACAGCACAAAGAAGTGACATGATTAAGCACATAATTTCTCCCGAAATTTATCTGTCATTTTCGGTACAATGAGATAAGATCACTTTATTGGAGAGAGTAAAGTCCACATAGATTTGTGGCAACCGATCCAGATCATACAACAGACCAACGGAAGTAAGATAAATCATCTGATCTAATCAGAATCGTTAGAATCCTACATGGTTTGAGGACTTTGAATGCTTAACATATATGGCGCTTGCAAAGTGAGAAATCAGAATCAGAACAAGTTACATGCCTTTATGGCAACTCCTATACCTTAAAGATTTCACAGACTCACACAAAAAAGTAAAAATAAATAAATAATGGCCTACAATGGCAAGACTTAAGAGAAACGATCAGAAAGTTCAAGGGCTCGAGTTATAATTGAGGACAATCCGTGGAAATAATGCAAATTTAACGATATGCAATGGCGAAGGAGAACAATGCACCACTTACAGACAGGGAAACCAGATGGCTATTAGAGGGGTATTTGGGTTTGGGTTGATGCCAACTGGCCTAGGAAGATATTCAATAGACATGGAATTCGGAAATATCTTGGCTGTTGCTTACATAATCAATAGCTGAGTTCCATTGCCCAGAAAGGCGCCAAGTAAGGACGAATTTGGAGGACATCTGCATCCATCACCATGAATTCCTCGGTGTAAATTAGAATTTGTGTCGTTAGAAATTTGAAGAGTTCTCCTGCAGGAAGATTTGCGCTTTTGGTGAAACAAAGCTGTGGCATATAATTAGGCGTTCCTAATAAAATAAATAAAGTTTGTGGTACCGTTTGAAAGAGTTCCTAAGTAATGCCCAAGTTACCACAAGAAGCAAACCAAACCAAATAGCAATGATAATGCAGAGATACAATGCTATGTCAACATCATCCCTGAATCCATGATCTTGTTTACGCCTCCGAAACCTATCTAACTTGCATTCTTCCCGGTAGACGTAATATTGCTGACCCTGAATATCCTGATTCTCTTCAAATTCATCCCAGAAGACTGAGTAAGTGAAGCTGACCCAAATTCCAGCATCTTCTGTTATATCCACAGCGGAATCAACATCGTCTTTACTTGAAATATCTATGGCTTTCACTTCTTTTCCAGAGTACAGGGGATAAAAGTTGATGTGCTTGAAAAGATAATACCGAGTGTGGCCATTTTCTTCAACTACTCTTCCCAAAGGGCCCTTGACGAGAATGTTGGAATAGTACATTTGGTATTCAAATTTTTTTCTGACAGCATATCTGAAAACTTCAACTTCATCTTTCGTTAGATATTTCTCACAAAGGATTTTACCTTCGGCTTTAACCTTGAACTTCAGCTCATACTGAGTGTCAGTAAAACATCCCCCTAATATAAGCTCTTGGAATGACATCTTCCTCTTGCTTATAGGATCTGCGATTTGCAGACCGCCACAGATCAACATGATAAGTTAAGGCACATGGCAGTTATAAAAGCATATGCAGGATAAATATATAATCTCTTAAGCCATATCCATGCGTCACAAAGCAAATGCTTTGAGAGTGATCTCTTACCTCGTGGAGGGCAGAAAGGCAGTTCATAATATGAGTATGCCTCACTGCAAAGTACATATTCAAAGAAAAGAATTGGAAACTGCGTGGAATCAAGCTAATTAATTAAGCACACGCACGGGCGCACACGCATATATGTATACACTCCATTCAAGCTTTACCAATCAAAATGCACATCAATTAATTAAGCTAACTCAGTAAGTAACAAATGGTTTGATTTGCATAGCCGTGGATCTGTTAAAGTGATTTTCAAAACTTCCGAAGCAAACTTAATGATCGGTTTTTTGGTAACTGTGATTGAAAAAGCTACAAGGAAAGCAAATTAACTATGCATCCGTACTGAAAAGTTCTGTCTCTGCTTTCTCTCCTATTTTCTCAGCTTCAAAGCAGAAAGTGACATTCATAGAAAGGAAGAGACAAGAAGAGATATAGCCACGCCAATGCGTATCTAAGACATAAACATTTAGTGAACAAGAAAAATGAAGATGAGATTCAGAAGAAGGAAATTATTCACCAGGAATCATTGACAGGTGCAATTTTATTGGCGAAGAGAGGGATGTAATCTCCGTCTTGGTGCTCAAACGGCACGCCTGGCGCATGAATAACGCATGATGAAGTGGGAATGCGTCGAATGGAGATCCCAAGAGGTAGCAGAGCTATCAAAATCACCAGTAGTATATTCCTCCATTGCTTTGGAGCCATGGATGCATATGCAAACACAAGCACACAGAGAGTGTGAGAGAGAGAGGATGTTACACTTGCAGACCCAAAAAATGGAGGGAAATTCTGTTACGCAGTTATCGTTTTTAAATCTTTATTTATTTTTTAAAACCATATATTTGCTTTCAGCGACAGTTCTGATTAAGCCACGTAAGCGTAAGGGTTTCTTACGAATAAGTTGAAGGTGTGGTGGCCACGCGCCTGATGAGGGAAACGAAATGACGGAGATACCGTCCTTACTTGTTGAAATGACGTAATTATCCTAATGGTTATAAAGGAGCAGGGGCGGTTCGGTTTCAGGCAATTTCGTAATTAACTAACTATCGATGGCTTCCAAGGCGATGACGGTGGCAGCGGAGAAGATAGGGACGGCGGCGCGGCGCCAAGCTGTGGCGTTAACCGACGCCGCTGCCTCCCGAATACGATGCTTGCTGCAGCAGCGGCAGAGGCCGTTCTTGAAGCTCGGCGTCAAGGCACGCGGTTGTAACGGCTTATCTTACACCCTAAATTATGCAGGTATGTTATTTGCGCCCTCTTTGAATTTTTTTGAGTAACGAGTTTTTGGGAGATTGAAGTATGAAAGTAAAATTTCAAGGAAACTGATACAAATCTGAGATGATGAAATGAATTGTGCTTTGAAGTTTGTCAATTTAGATCTCGTGTTGCTTTGACAGATGAAAAAGGGAAATTCGATGAGTTGGTTGAGGATAAGGGCGTTAAGATATTGATTGATCCAAAGGCACTTATGCATGTCATTGGAACGAAGATGGATTTCGTAGATGACAAACTCAGGTAACTGTTTTACTTATTCTTCTTTATGTTTCTCTTGAATTTTCCGTTGTGTGTGGGATTGTGGGGGGTGGGTTGTTGTGGTGAGGAAATCTCTATAAACATTATATTCAATCACATTTATTGGGGAACACAAATCTCAAAAGATTTTATTGTGTTTATTTTTTTTATTTTTGTAGGGGGTATCATGTTTGGATTTGATCTTCTTAGTAAATAATATATATATTTTTTTTTCAGTAAGGTTTTGATGTAACTGTTTTGAACTCAAAATAAGCTAATTCAAACACATAAGTAATTGATTTTCTTCCCTCGTGAATCTTATTAAGGTATATAACTATCCTCTATGTTGCTTTTGGATGGAGGAAAGCATACTTCTGTTTAGTTTCTCCGCTAATTGTATTTACTTGTGTTGTCTGAAATTGAAAAATATTCATATTTTCATGTTGAGGTGAACTTAGAATGCTAAACACACTTTATTGTAATTTCACAATTAATATTCTTCCCCTTGATGTTGCCACAGTTAATTTTTGCCACCTCTTCTGCCCTTCCACTTCCTCACTGTTAATAACTTATTCTTTTGTCTTTTTATTAATCTCGTTTTTTAGTTCTTATGAACTTGATCTTTTGTTCAATGGGAAAACTTAACGCTTCTATATAGAAACATGATATTTGGGCATTGACTGGCTTGAGTCTGCAACTTTGCTCCCTCCCTGGCTCCCTCACTTTTAACATGCATGAATTTGTACTTTTGGGATAGTCTGTGAGATTTTCCAAATCCTGGGTTTTGGACGAGAATTTGCATTACTGAACCGGAAGCTTTTGATGAAATGTTGCATGAATATTATAATCCATATGCCGTGCTTGGTTTTGGGAATGGTAAGTGATTTTGCAATCCCAACTTTACATGGGTAAAATTCTACTTCACTAAAAGAAGATTTTCCCAAGAGCCTTAGCTTAATTGGCACCAATTCCCTTTAGTGACTCTACTTGATCCCAGATTGAATCCTTCTGAGGCTGCTTTACCTCTATTTTAGCCTTGGACCTCCTTTGTAACAAAAAGAAAGGAAGTTAGATGAAATGTGGCACGAGTATTTGTGTTAGTTATATGTTGTGCTTGATCCTGCTACTTGCTTCAACTGCTTTTTTCTTTATGCGTGAGACAATAACGGCTGCTTTGTAGTCGGTGTTGTATTCTACTTTTCAGTGCTTGTGTTTTAAATACTAATTTTTTTTTTCCCCTTCTCCTGCCAGATCTGAGTTCATTTTTGTCAATCCAAACTCTAAAGGCCAGTGTGGCTGTGGTGAATCTTTCATGACAGCAACAAGTACTGGAGCTGCTAAGTAAGGAAATGGTTAGAATTTCTATTCAACTTGGTGTTGATCCACACTTATGAAGTCGTTGTTTCATGATTTCTTCGATGAACATACAACTATACAAGTACCATAAATGGATTTCCATAATTTTGCCTGCGAGTACGGAGGAAAATAAAAGCTTGGGCAAACTAATGACTGATATGAGTTCTCTGAAGCTGATGCTAATACGGCTTAGGACAACAATTTGTACTCTTATCATTTGATCTGACGATTCTTATTTTATGTAAAAAAATTTGTATTATGGGAATTGTATAGTTTGTAGATTAAGAAAATCATTGAAATAATTTCCCCTTACTTTATTATAACAATCAGCATATTCAGCACTATTTTTCTTTCAATTTTTTTTTTTTTTTGGCCAACTTTGATCGTACTTTCTCTTAATGATTATGGTAGCATTGCTTCTCATGAAAGGTTGAATGACATTGGTTGTCTTTATCATGTTGGGATGGTGCAGTACCTTCCCTCTATTAACCAAAATGATATTAAAAATCATCCAGAGAGAGAGGATAATATCTGTTAAAGAAATTGTTTCGACAATACAAGTTTCATGAAATACATACAAAAAATTGAAATATGCAATAATACAAAGTTAAAGCATACTTTATAGAAATATATAAATGTAATAAGAAAAAAATTAGAGCCTAGTGTTAAATACTATGTTCATAAGACAATTTTGTCCTTTCTATAGTGTTCAAAATTTGTGGACAAATGTCTCTTAGGATAGAATGAATTGTTTCTATTCTTGTGGCAGCACTTTATATTTTGAATAGTCTCATCGAACTCAACCTTTATCTGATCAATTGTATTAGAGTGGAAGAATACAAATGCATGTACAAAACCAATAGAAAAACTATCTTAAAAATCCTGACTCTTTATATATATTTAGAAAACATAAGGTCACGATTCAAAAGGTACATATTCATCGACGAAACATTAATACATCCGTTTGACACGAAATAGACTCACATTTTCAAATCAAACTTTTTATTAATAAAAATAATAATTTAAAAAATTAATTCCAACACCCTCTAGCATCTGTTGAGAGGGTAGTAACAAGTAACGAGATTGAATTGTGTTATGTTATGGCATTTCTTATACTACTTCTTATACTACTTGAGTAAGTAATGTGCAGGAACAATATCCATGCTGGGCAATTAGAAATCAGTGTCGTTAAACTCGACCCGGACATCGACCCGGTCGGGGTACTGGGTCATTGGGTCACTGGTCGGACCGGTGGGTCACTGGTCGGATCGGTTGACCCGGATATATATAGATATATAAAAATATATATAAATATGAATATATAAATTCAATTATATCTTCCATATCTAAAATAAATTAAACAAGGTTCACTAAATAAGTTAAAAAAATGAAGCATAAATAAATAAAAGTGCATGCTATTACTATGTCAATTTAAATGGCAACTCAGAATCCCCATAAGCATACCTCTCAATGACATTGAACTCATATTTTTTAAATTCAACTACATTAAAATGACATATGTTACATTCTCTAATTTATTATTCCACAAATTGCTTTAGTATTGGAAACTAAGAGGTCATTGTAGAAGAGTATACTAGTAAATAAAATTATAAAAAGTTGTTAAAATGAGTTTTACATTTTTTTTATAAGATGAAACAATTTTAGTTTTTTTTTTTTTTTTAAATGCATGACCCGACCGGGTCACCGGGTCGACGGGTCACCGGGTTTGTCCGAGTTTTGACCGGGTTTGACCGGGTCGATGCATGACCGATCCAATGCTTAACCCGAACCGGTCTGATGACCGGTTCACCGGGTTCCGAGTCAACCCGGCCGGGTCGGACCGAGTTTGACAACAGTGATTAGAACTGTTGGCAAGAAAGATGTGCATTACTCTTAGGGGGTGTTTGGTAGAGGAGAATTTTTTTTTTTGTCCGAAAATCTCGATTTTCAAAAATTTAATTTTTACATTCAGTTTATGATAATATTCGAAAATTTTAAATTTTAAATTTAAAAAAATTTAGTTTTCTGAAAATCTTGGAAAATGACGCGTACCAAATGCCCCCTTAACTCTTAAAAATATTGCCAGGGGGGCTCTCAGAGCAATGATGACCTGCTACAATGGCAAAAGTAATTTTGTGAAATGATTCAAATAAATAAAATTACCTAAAAAAAACACGCTACAAGTGATTTTCGTAAGATTTCTTGAATATGAATAAGATGATGATTTTTTTAGTCTGATAAGTTTAAGTAGGTAGATGAAACCACTACTGTACTGTACTCTGATTAAATACAAATGAGGTTGTCACTTTACTGATTCTCTAATATTCACAAAACAGTAACAAGCTTCAACTGAGACAAAGTAGTATCATAAGCATGGTCCGTAATGTTGGAACTTTTGTGAATTTGTCATGTTATGTTTGGCCTGATTACAATTTTAACTTATGAGGTGGACTTTCAGGGACTCACATAGTCAAAAATTCTAAACCTAACCATTGTGCAGAAAATTTCAATTTTATTATACCAGGAACTATTTTTTTATTTTTAATATTTGACATATTACCATCATCTCATTTTGTGAATTTTATGTTTTTATAATAACACACTAAAAAAATAATAAAATTTATAAAATTAAAAAATTATAACAAATGTGATTAAAATGGTTTATAATAAAAAATTATTTAATTTTTTTTTTAAATAATCAAGTCCAATCATGTACAGCATTTTACCTCCAGCACAACCAAAATTCCCTCGGAGAGAGAGAGAGAGAGAGATAAAAAAAAAGATGATATTATTGATTGGCTTTTTCTTCTTTAAGATATTCGTCGAATCAAGACGAAATCACGAAGCTGACCCTGCCAAAATTCTCTTTCTTCCTTTCGTTCGAGCTTTGGCTATTTGGATGATCGGTTTCCAAATTTCAATTGCAAGTAGATGATAGCTTCATTCTCCTGGTAAGCCACTTTCATTAATCAAATCATCTCTATTTCTTGTCTAATCTATTCTCATCAGATGCTTGTGTTTGAGAACTGTCAATTTCTACAGTTTTTCGATTCAACAATATTGCTAGTCTATTTTGTGTGCCCAGATACTGATTCATCACTATCAGTGTGTGTTACCCTATTTAGTCCACTTGGGTTGTAATTTCACTGCTAAAGTTTTTTTTTTTTTTTTTTTTAATTTAATTTTTTTTTTCTTCAGTTGGTATCCAGGTTAAGTCTAATTCAGGAAATTGATACAATGGACCGTTAAGTATTTGTGATTTATGGTGTTTTTCTCTCTTAAACTATGGAGAACCTTCCTGTTGAAGTGATTGGTAATATACTATCCCATCTTGGGTCTGCCCGGGATGTTGTGATTGCTTCAGCAACATGCAAGAAATGGAGGGAAGCTTGGCGTAGCCACCTCCACACTCTTTCATTCAATTCTTGTGATTGGCCCATTTATCATGAATTAACCAATAATAGGTTAGAAATACTGATCACTCAAACAATTTTCCAAACCAAAGCGCTGCAGTGTTTAAAAATTTTCATGGATGATGTCCACGAGTTTTCTGCTGCTCCTGTCATTGCTTGGCTTATGTATACCAGGGATTTCTTGCGCCAGTTACATTATAATGTAAGGACAACCCCGAATTTCAACATCATCGAAAAATGCGGTAGGCAGAAGCTGGAAGTGTTGGAATTGGCTCGCAGTTCTATCGTGGGTGTGGATCCCTTTTATCAGAAGTTTCCTTGCTTGAAGTCACTTTCATTGAGTTTTGTTAGCATCTCGGCACTGGATCTGAGCCTTCTACTTTCTGCTTGTCCAAGGCTTGAAACCTTGTCTCTCTTCAGTCCAGAAATTGCTGTCTCAGATTCGCAGGCTTCCATGGAGCTTAGCAGCTCTACTTTGAAAAATTTCTCTGTTGAGTCATTTGGTTTAGACAAATTTGTATTAGAGGCAGATTTGCTTGAGAATTTACATCTTAAAGACTGTACCTTTGAGGATTTTGAATTAATTGGCAAGGGAACATTGAAAGTGTTGAAGGTTGATGACGTGAGTGTCATCCATCTTGATATTGGCGAGAATACGGAGAACCTTGAGATCGTAGATGTCAGCAACTTCACAATTATGTGGCCAAAATTTTATCATATGATCTCAAAAGCATCAAAGTTACATAGGCTTCGGTTGTGGGGTGTTGTGTTTGATGATGAGGATGAAGTTGTGGACTTAGAGACCATTTCCGTTTGTTTTCCTCAGTTGATGCACCTGTCCTTAAGTTATGATTTACGAGATGGTGTACTTAATTATGGCTTGCAGGGTTTGTCTACTTTGGCGAATGTGGTGGTGTTAGAACTTGGATGGACTTCAATCAGTGATCTTTTCTCAGCATGGGTAGCTGGACATTTGGAAAGATGTCCCAATTTGAAAAAATTGGTCATTTATGGTTTTGTTTCAGAGGTCAAAACACATGAAGAGTGCCAAATTTTGGCCAAATTTACTGAAATCATTCTTCATCTTGGAAGAAAATATATGCATGTAAAGTTTGAGTTTGAATATGAGTAGTGAGTTCTTCCATACTCATCCATGTCTGTCAAAATCTTTGTTTAATATCATTCAGCAAGAAGGTACTTCTATACCCAATGAGTTTCTTCTTTACTTGTTGTTCATTTTTCTAAAGTTTGAAGCATAAGAGTGCACCAATTGTAAAGTGACAGATTCTTTGTGTAAAAGAGAGAATTTTGATTTCCATATCTTCAGTTCTACCCTAAGATCTTAAACCTGGATATACTACTATCACATCTCCTTTCTTTTTATGATTTATTTATTGTTTTCTGGAGCAGGGAGCAGGGTGCACTATGAATTCATGGTTTTTCTTTTTCCTTTTACCACATTGCTATCCTGATCCCATTATTCGAGATATGGTAACTTTTACATGCTTGAGCATATGTGTGTGTTTTTTGTATCCCTTTGGGATAATCTGAATCGTACTCCATATTCTTTCTTTCTTTCCTGAACATATGTGTTCTTTCTGTATCCCTTTGAGATAATCTAAATCATACTCCATATTCTTTCTTTGTTTTTTTCCTGATATGGCAGTTTCAGGTTTAAGTAATTTGCAATGCATTTAAAGCTTCCATTAATCGTACTAAATGATTTGATGCTTCCATATTCACGAAGCTGGGATAATTTGACCAATCTTGATACCTGGAGGGACATTGATGAATGATGATTAACCTCATCATATTAAAGAAGTTTATCATATCATAAATGTTGCAGAAGAAATATACAATTTTACTCAATCAAGCTGTGCGATGGATATTTACTTTATGGCTGTTCATATCATGTATATTTAAGTTTTTTGCCTCCTCTCTTTTTGAGATTTGGGAGTTGCGTTCCTGGTCTTTTTTTATAGAATCTCAAAAAGTTTGCATCATTTTGTTGCTTTTCACCTTTTTGTGTGTGCATGTTTTGCAATGTTTATTCTGTACAGACACTTAAGATGATGAGCCATGTTTATGTCAGACACTTGTGTTAAAAATGACATAACAGTTCTTATTTTATTTTATTTATTATTTATTAAATGAAGAATGGGTTTGCTTCATCATTTGAACCTACTGTTAGAAATACCAAACTCATCTTTGCACCGTTTGTAAAATTAATAGGTGTCAAGTTGTTTTATTGCTGTCCTTGTATTAAGTAAATGTAATAGCCGTGCATGTTGTAATCGGTTAGTTAATAGTCATGATGTCAGGTGTTATGTATTAAGACTAAGTAATGTGTGGTGTTATCCATGTGTTAAATGGGTGAGTAAGTGGAATCGGTCAATCGGTGAAGCGGTTGGAGAAGCATTACGTTGGCTGAATTGAAGTTATAAATAGATTGGTGTTATATGTATTCAATATGTGAAAAAAATCAAGTGAAAAAAAAGAAGAGAGCCACAACACTGTTGAGAAAAGAAAGTGCAGAAAAGTCTTTGTAACTTTGAGTGTTGTTTTTCAATAAGAAAGTGTTATTCAGTCTCCATTAATTTGTCTATTACTATTATATTTCCAACAAGTGGTATCAGAGCCACTTTCGATCCAACAATGACGGATATGATGCAGCCACAAATTCCAAAGTTGTCAAAAACAAATTATGGAAATTGGAGCATCCAGATGAAGACTCTACTAGGTTCTCAAGATATATGGGACCTTGTAGAAGATGGATACACGGAGCCCGCTGATGCTGCCGCTGAAGCAGCTTTATCAGAAGCACAAAAGAAGACGCTGAAAGATTCACGAAAGAAGGACAAGAAGGCTCTATTCTTAATTTTTCAAGGTGTTGATGAATCAACCTTTGAGAAAATATCAGATGCAAAATCATCAAAGGAGGCATGGGAGACGTTACAGAAATCCTGTCAAGGTGCTGACAAAGCTAAAAAGGTGCGGCTCCAATCACTTAGAGCCGAGTTTGAAAACATGAAAATGCAAAGTGAAGAGCAAGTTACAGATTATGTCTCTCGAGTGCAAAAGGTGGCTAAGGAGATGAAAAGAAATGGAGAAGTCTTGGATGATGTTAGACTCATGGAGAAAGTTCTTCGATCTCTAACAATAAGATTTGATTATGTTGTCACAGCTATTGAAGAAGCCAAAGATTTGACGGAGATGTCAATTGATGAGCTTGTGGGTTCACTTCAAGCTCATGAGCAAAGAATGAAGTTGAATGAAGGCTCTAGTAATATAGAGCAAGCTATGCAGACCAAGATGTCTCTTGATGAAAACCAAGCCAGTAACAGCTTTGTACGTGGTAGAGGAAATCGTGGTGGATACAGAGGAGGCTTCAACACCCGAGGTGGATTCAACACTCGTGGTGGTCATGGCGGACGCGGTGGACGTGGTCAAATAGGTAGAGGATTTGCAAATGATACTGAAGCATATGGACGTGGACAAGGAAATTATAATCGTGAACGAGGTAGAGGTCGTGGCAGAAGCCGAGGATTTATGATTCGAGGAGGAGGTAGATTTCAACAAAGAGGTGACAAATCTCAGATACAATGTTATAATTGCAATAAATTTGGTCACCTCAGCTATGAATGTAAAGACACGCCTCCAGTTGAAGAGAGGAGTCAGTTTACATCAAATGAAGAAAGAGTTAATGAATCAACTATTTTATTCACCTACGGAGGTGAAGAAGATAGTAGCAGAAACGTGTGGTATCTTGATACTGGAGCAAGCAATCATATGTGTGGAAGAAAGGAGTTGTTCACGGAGCTGAATGAGGAAGTTCAAGGAGAGGTTACATTTGGAGATTCATCAAAGACTCCAGTCAAAGGCATGGGTAAGATTATGATTTTCACAAAGAATGGAGGTAAGACATATATCTCAGATGTTTATTATATTCCATCTCTGAAAAGCAATCTCCTCAGTATTGGCCAGTTTTTAGAAAAGGGATATGATATACACTTGAAAAACAACACTCTTGTCATACGAAATCAAAAAGGAGAGCTGATTGCAAAAGTTGATATGTCAAGAAATCGTCTTTTCAAGCTGAATATCCAGACAGAAGCAATAAGGTGCATGAAATCCATCACAGAAGATAGTTCGTGGTTGTGGCATCACAGATTTGGTCATCTTGGTTTCACTGGCCTGAAGCTGTTATCCAAAGCAAAAATGGTGAGCGGATTGCCACAGATAGATCATCCAGATCAGCTGTGTGAAAGCTGTATGAGAGGAAAGCAACACAGACAAAGTTTTGAAGTTGGCAAATCATGGAGAGCTAGAAGACTATTGCAGTTGGTTCACTCAGATATTGCTGGCCCAATTGATATTCCATCACTTGGTGGAAACAGATATTACATTACTTTTATTGATGATTTCAGTAGAAAAGCTTGGGTGTATATTCTTAAAGAAAAATCAGAAGCTTTTGAAAAATTCAAAGAGTTCAAAGCAATGGCAGAAAAGCAAAGTGGTCAGTATTTGAAGACACTCAGAACAGATAGAGGGGGTGAATATACTTCCAAGATATTTGAAGAATTTTGCAGGCAATATGGGATAATTCATCAGTTGACAACGGCCTACACTCCGCAGCAAAATGGAATTGCAGAAAGAAAGAATCGCACAATTCTTGATATGGCAAGGAGTATGCTCAAAGAAAAGCACTTACCAAGAACGTTGTGGGCTGAAGCTGTTCAGTGTGCTGCCTATTTGCTGAATCGATGTCCAACCAAGAGTGTGAAGTTTAAGACTCCAAACGAAGCATGGAGCGACTATAAACCAGAGGTAAGTCATTTAAAAATCTTTGGTTGTATAGCATATGCTCATATTCCAAATCAAAGGAGAAAAAAGCTAGATGACAAAGGGGAAAAATGTATTTTCATTGGCTATGAGCATAGGAGCAAAGCTTACAGACTCTACAATCCTCTAACCAGAAAGGTGATAATTTCAAGAGATGTAGAATTTGATGAAGCAGATTACTGGAGATGGAGTAAAGAAGAAAAGAAAGTTGAAGGTTTATTTTTTAAAGATGATGATGACTCAGAAGAGCAGACAGTTCAAGAAGGAGATGATCAAACTCCTCCACCAAGTCCTGTTCCAACAACCCCAGTAACTACACCATCAACATCAGGGAGTGGTAGCAGTAATTCAGGGGGAGCACCAGTAAAGATGAGAAGTCTAAATGAAATTTATAATGAGGTACAAATACCATTTGATTATTCATTATTTTGTTTAATGACAGAATGTGATCCAGTGATGTATGAAGAAGCTGAAAAAGATGAAAAATGGAAGAAAGCAATGAATGATGAAATTGCTGCAATCAAAAGAAATGACACGTGGGAGCTTACAACTTTGCCAAAAGATCACAAGTCAATTGGAGTGAAGTGGGTGTACAAGACAAAGACCAACCAAGAAGGAAAGGTAGAGAAATATAAGGCAAGATTGGTGGCCAAAGGTTATAAGCAGAAATATGGTATTGACTATGAAGAGGTTTTTGCACCAGTAGCACGGATAGATACTATCAGGTTATTCACAGCAGTTGCAGCACAACAAAAGTGGAAAATATACCAGATGGATGTGAAATCAGCATTCCTCAACGGTTACCTGGAAGAAGAAGTTTATGTTGAGCAACCGCCAGGATACATTAAAAAAGGAGAAGAAGATAAAGTCTATAGATTGAAGAAGGCACTATATGGGTTGAAGCAAGCTCCGAGAGCCTGGAATACAAGAATAGATGAGTATTTTCAGAAGAGTGGATTTGTGAAGAGTCCATACGAGCATGCGTTGTATACAAAGAAAAATAAAGATGGAGATGTGATGATTGTGTGCCTATATGTGGATGATATGATATTCACTGGTAATAATCCAGGTATGATTTATGATTTTAAGAAAGCAATGACTAAAGAATTTGAAATGACAGATATTGGAGAGATATCTTATTTTCTTGGAGTAGAGGTGAAGCAAATGGGAGAAGGAATTTTTATTTCACAAAAGAAATATGCAGAGGAAATGTTGAGTAAGTTCAAAATGAAAGATTGCAAGTCGGTCTCCACGCCAATAGAAACAGGAATGAAGATGAAAGTTGATTCAGATAGAAAGTCAATAAATCCTACACTATACAAAAGCTTGGTCGGGAGTTTAAGGTATTTGACTTTTACTCGACCTGACATTATGTTTGCAGTTGGCTTAATTAGCAGATATATGGAGCAGCCAAGGCAGGATCGTTTCAGTGCGGCAAAGAGAATTTTGAGATACATTAAAGGAACTGTAGATC